TTAACTGAAAAAAAATCTAAAGGAATTATTATTTTAATGTACATTTCAATATGTGTGTCTTAATTTCAAATTGTGAAGCATGTGGGGTTTATTATGCAAACAAACAACAAGGTAAATTCAAGTTCCCTGGATTTCTTTATTTTTGCAAATTGAAAAATTAAAAAAAAAAAAAAATTCACGTAATTTATATGGAATGAATCAATCACTCAAATAATCAACGTAATTCAAACATCCAGAATTCTTTTAATACGCTTGATATTGACTGCAAATCGTTGGTAACATTAAGTGTATTCGAATCTATTAGATGAAATTAGAAATTTCAGGCGTGATAACTGATTTCGTTGCTTAATTTAATTGGAAATATCAGTTAAAAAAGTTACTTTTAAATCTATTAATCGGTTAAAATGACATAAAACTCAACAAATGTATTAAACAATAAAAAAAGAGGTATGTAAAGAAAATACATATTTATGATAATTCCACAAATATTGATACAAATAATTAAGAACTATGAAAATCCTTAAACTTGAATGTACACCTGTTGTTAACTAAAGAAATAATATTTATCAAAGCGTGGCAATGAAACATGACTAGCAATTAATATTATAAAAAAGCAGGCACATATAATCTATTTTTGGCACAAATCTCTTACACTAAAGCACCTTTGTTGTTCAAAACTATTAGTTGGAATAGTGTACAATGTGATAATGTACAGTGTACAATGTAATAGTGTACAATATAAATGGCAGATGCAGCACCTTTTTGGACGCGTTTATATAAAGAGCAATTCGTTGCAGCAAAAAGTTTCACACAACTTTTAGACAATGGTTTTGCACTAAAAGCAAAAATTACAATGAAAGATAAAAAACCAAAGTCAACAATTTTTACAGAAAAATTAAAGCTAAGCAGTACTATTTCAACAGTAATAGACAAAAATATGTTTTATATGTTTAAATATATAACTATATTTGGTGATAAAAAGAGTACATTTCAGTTTCTGCTTTGAAATTATTTTTCAAAAGAAATTCTCACATTGCTACTTGCTAGAACAATTTAAATGGTCAAACTTAAGCGTACTCAGTAAGCTTTGATTTAACTGCAAATTAGTTTTAATAAACATTTTCACAATTAATTTAAAAGCGTATTTTAGTTTGTGACATTAAATCTATAGTGTTTTTGTGTTTAGGAAGAAAAATTAAAGAGAATTTCACTACTATAATAATGAATGTAACATAAATTACTGTTATTCATACATTATTGAAACAATGATTTTAATCCCTTCTTTGCTCTGATTGACATTGATAATGACTCGTCGGAACTTGTGACATTTTCGTCTTTAATACTAATGCATTTGATTGTACTCTTAATGAGGACTTCAAATTTAAAGGGCTTGACGTAATATAAGTCATAAGTAACACGAACCTTTTATATCAAACTGTTTCTTAGTATTGTTTAAATATTGGGTGCTATTCTACTTTCTAAAGTTTCCATGACAAACAAAAAACATGAAAATTATTTTTTTTTTTTAAATAAAAAAAACTCTCGAATAATTTGAAAATGTAGCTTATCATTACATTGCCTCATGAGTTTTAATTGCATTAGGGCGTTAATTACAGAACGTACAACGTTTATATTAATTTCTTGGTTATTAGAAAGCTCTAGTATCTTCTTTCACAGAAATTGTTTCTTTCTACAGTTAAAGGTTTTTAAGATTCAATAAAACTTCTGTGTCCTGTAATTGAATAAATTTAGAATGCGATAATAGTCCATTTCATTGATATTCGTGCGGAAATAAATGTTTCGAAAAAGTGAAATCCTCTTTAGTTTATTCTTCTACGGATATTAGTTTCATATCTATAAAAAATGTAAAAATATAAAACTGTTGTAGAAAAAATTAATTATTAATTAAATTGTAAAAATATTTAATAAGCGTGTGCTCGAGAACCAACAGTGAATATAAAACTTATAAAATTGAGCGTTTAAAAAAATTAAATTTTCTAATTTTTAATTAATTTATTTATTTTGCAATAGTAATAGTATTATTTTTAATAAGGACGTCAACTTTGGCACGGTTTTTAATCTGGTAGATACTGATATCGATATCTTATACCTCAAGCTTTTATCGGAAACGGATACATAAATGTTTTTCAGGAGATACTATAAAATATTTTCCTTTTCCAGGTTCTACTAAAAATAAAATTAAGACATTAATAATACTATACTTATTAAACGGGAACTAGTATAAAAATATGTATATACCTCTTATTGCTTTATAGTTATTCGCATTTTAGAGCTCTTCTATTTACAAAACTTAGGGAATTAATTATCTTAAGTTTTCGAAAAATAAATGAATTAATGAAACCTTAAGAGACCTCTCTCCTTGACAAATGGGTTTAAAACTAAATTTTTAAATTTCGTTTTTTTTCTTTTAAACAAACGTTTGATGACAGAGTAACACTTAACAGCACAGTTCTTTTAAAAATAGATGAAAAAGTAAGACTTTGTGTTATTAGAATGGAAGAAACAGCAGTTGAAAATTTTTATAATTCCTGCGTAGTTTTTTAACTTAAATTTTAAAGCAATAAAATTTTTGCGGAAGGTAATTTTAGATAGACAAATAAATACCATGATTTTGCCTGTTTTTAATTTTTTTATAACTTTACTTTTTTGTGCTCCTACCAAAAAAAAAAAAAAAAAAAACTATTTGAATGAATCTGAAAAATTCTTTAATGTTAAATATACAAATATAAGAATGTTTTTCCCTCTAAATCTAAAAAATGTATACATATAACTTGAGTAGATAAAAATTTATTTGGAGTAGGCTTAAAAACTATCTTAAAATAAATTACGCAACAAATTAAGATAAGAAGATTTTTAAGATTTTTTTCCTTTTAAGATATTTTCAAGAGAAGATTCCTTTTGAAATATTTTTTTAAGATATTTTTTTAAAATATCTTAGAAGTACTTAAGATAGTGTCGTGTAGAGTGAATCTCAATCATCAATTTATTCGCAAAAATTAATTAAAGATGATTAGAAGCATTCTTAATGTTTACCCCTTGCGTCACATCCCTCTGAAAATCAAAATCGGAAATTAGGAGAGAGATCTCTTAAACCAGGATGGGTGAATACTTGATAAAAAAAATACCATAATTGGAACTTTTCAAAACGAGTTAGGAATGTTTCGAAAACAAAACTAAAATATTCTTTGTATATAAAAAAACATCAGAATAGAACTGAAATAACTACAATCTAAAATTTAATAACTACAATCAGTTTAAAACAAATAACAAAAGCAACAAAAATAGAGTATTAAGAAAAATTTTCTGCATAGTTCATATTTATACATAAAAAGAGGACACATTTTCATATTTCAGAATATTATGCATTATAAACAAACATAAAAAAGCCAAACAAATATTTTACACAACAATACAAAATAGCTAAATTGGATGTAATAATCATAATGTAATTAACATACATTATATGATAATGAACTCTTTCTTTGTTATGTCAAAAATCACAAATGATTCGGAATTCTTTGAAGGAAAGCAAATAGTAAAACTGACTAACTAAATGCTTAACTCCATGAAAATTGAAAATCTTTAAATCATTTATAGTTTTAAATGAAAAATATGGCAAAGTGCCACCATGGGCACAAAACGCAGAAATGAGAATTTATGGCACAAAGTTTCAAAATTTTGCAAAGAATTTATTTTTAAAATTTTATTAAAATTAAAAAGTTATGAAAATGTTAAGCACAAATTATTATAAACTCTAAAATTNCAACGAAAAGTGCCACCATGGGCACAAAATGCAGAAATGAGAATTTATGGCACAAAGTTTCAAAATTTTGCAAAGAATTTATTTTTAAAATTTTATTAAAATTAAAAAGTTATGAAAATGTTAAGCACAAATTATTATAAACTCTAAAATTTAAAGTGCAGAGATATGCATTCAATTTTCAATAAATTTAATAGTTTTCGTAAAAAAATTACTACGAAAGAAAGCGAGTAATGTTGATTTTAATTTAATTAATATGGTTATTTTTATATGTTAATCACTAAACTGATATATTTATAATGTTGACACACTACAAATGTATCGTATTTAATGTATATATTTATATTAACATCTTGCACAACTTGTATACCAGATAGTGTTTATTTATCAGGTATGATAATTTTGCTCATTAAATTACATTTATAAGTTAACATTAATATGTTCTACAACCTGATATCTTTATAATATATTAAACTGTATTTATTAACCAGGTGTCTTATAATAAAATTTTAAGATATTAAATGAATGACAAATATTTCAAATGTATTAAGGAGCAAAAAGACAAAGAAAGAAGTACCGAAATTCAAGAGAAAAAAATTTGAAGATTCTTTTAAAACACACAATTTAAAAGATACAGTGTAAGCTATGACGTTAAAAAATTTTCGGTATAATTCGTTTGCAAATGCCGTTACATTTCCCTTGAAAAAACCTCATAATTTCATATTATATCAGGTTTATAATTAAATTTGCAACTATTTCATTGAATAAAATAGACTTTAAAATTAGATTGCAAGAAAATTTATTTTCAAAATAAAATTTCTAGCGTATTTAAAAGCATTGATCGTCATATGAGAGGGAAAAAAAAGATACATTTTTAATGTTTCTACATGCCTGACCTACAACCTGATCTATCTATATGGCATTGAATAGAATTTCTAAGTTGATATAAGGTTGTTTGTCAAAATTACTTTAAACAATTAAAATGTTTCAATTTTCATGGAAAACACATATATTTCTTTGGCAAAGTCACTTACAAAAATCTTTGGCTTATAGAAGAAAAAAAAATTATGCATCATAAAACGAACAATAATTTTCATCTCATATATAAAAGAAAACATACATTATCCTCTCTTTTAAAATCTCTAAAAATAAAAACAAAACAAATTTTAAAACAATAAAAATTATTCAGTATATCCTTTCTTTTTTTTTCCGATTTCAAATAAACATGTCTTTGGTTTCAAAATAGGTAACTTATATCTTCACATTTTTGATGCACAATTTTCCAGTCATCAAATAAAATTCCTTCTGTAGTTCCATAAAAATTAGCACCCCTTGATTACTAGTTCGCTTTTCCCCCCTTTTTTTATTTATTAAACTTTGAAATGCACATATCAAATTTGATGATGAGGGAAGGGAAAAAGTCACGGGAGTAGCGAAAACAAAGAAGAAAGGAAGAAGGAAGGTCAAAAAAGGTCACATTTCACTCATGGTAAGGTTTACAGTAACTGAACCTGTGGTTCATGTGTTGACTGTAAGAGCCGGAGTGTGAGAACCTTTTGAAACATTTACTGCACTGGAATGGCTTCTCGCCGCTGTGCAGTCTTTTGTGCTCAGTGAGGTGATGCTTGTGTTTGAACGCTTTGCCGCATATATCACACTTGTGTGGTCTTTGCCCTGAAAATACAAATAGTTTAAATTATGATAACATGCAAACAATCAGATTTATGACAGAGCACACGCTTCATATTTCAATTCTTTGTCATCAATAAAAACATTCTGTGAGACAATGAGAAAGAGATAGTAAAACCTCTGGAGAGCGACCAATCTCTGTTTAACAGTAAAATGGTGGTTTGTGGAGGATGGTTACCTCCATAAGCTAGAGGAGTGTAACCTAGTTACCTTAGAGGTTACCTTCATTGACTTCAATATTGTTCTCGAAGGTATGTGATTTTTCGCAAATAATTTTATATTTCAGTCAGTGTAATTTTTCTTGGTGCGGAAATGCCACTTCTGTCGGCGACTTGAAAATATGGATGTATGACTAAACTTTAGCGTTTATAAAAATGATCCCAATTGATATAATTATGTGTAAAAACAAATTTACCAATTACGTTTTTTGTTCAAGTTTGCACTTAATTTTATGTCATAAATATTAGTTAGCTTTAAAAGAAGTTTGTTTGAAATGTTTGTTTTTCTAAAATAATCTTATTTGAAATTTAACTTTCCATTCTAAAAGTAAATCATTGATAGCTTCGTCTTTAGTGCACTCTGACGGCACCTATCGTCAAAAAGAACTAACATATATATATATATGTTAGTTCTTTTCTGTAAATCCTATTCTTTAATCCTATCTCTTTAAATCCTATTATTCAAAACGAAATGCTTTCTCACACTTTTAAATTCACATCCTGTCCTTTAATCTATTTTTGGCTCAACTGCGCATTAATTTAAAAGCAAGATACTTTTTCCTTTGCTCTCTGTGGGAATCGCTCGACCTATTTGATAAACCAATTACAATTACTAAGATTTCCCTCTTTCCTAAATTGAAACATTATACGGATTTACTTTGCAAAATTTTCCCTAACATGTAATCGAGGAGCACAACTTTTTGTGTTCACTTTTATGACTGCTTTTTGCCTGATAATTAAAAAATAAATTTTGTATCCTCCTTCCCTGCCTAAGACCTGTTTTAATTCTTCCACTCGGCAACGACGTATATATATATATATATATTAT